TTTCTGCGAATTTGTATAACAAGAACCTTTTTGAGATGCTCCACCACTCACTTTAATTAAGCCTCTTTAGGCGCGTTTCATTAAACAAGAAATTTAAGCAAATAAATTACTTCGTGTGGAAGACTTAGCTAACATAAATATATTAGCTGCCAAAATTATCTTTCGAATTTTGCCATTCAAGCCAGGCTATATTATTCCGTTTGTCAGGAGCTCCACTAGCTAGCTCACACTTTTTTCCTTCGCCACATCTGACTGCTACTCATACAACTCTGAGAGCGGATTGTAATCATTTTATAGCTTAAAAGTTTGGGCCAGCTTTTAAAGCTCATTCATACATTTCAGCTTTTTTTCAGAGTGTCGTCACTATTTCTGCATCTTGGCCCAAGTCTTTTGAAGCTGTTGTGTTGTTTGAGCATGGCATATGAGAACAGTTTATACATATTTGTATTACATATACAGGTATTTGTATTATAGAAAAAAATTTAAATCTTTTTGTAATTCGTTATGTGTTTGCTTATTAATTTTAAGAAAATAAAATAAAAACAATGAAAAAGTAGTTTACAGTAACAACGAAAAAAATTCCGTAGTTCCTTATGCATAGAATCTTCTCGTTTATAAGAACTTGGAAAAGCACCAAAAATTTAATCAAAATAAATGAAAAATTATTAGTATACAAGCAAAAAAAACAAAATTATTACTCTGTAATGAGCCAATCGAATTTATCTGTTACGGTGTTAGATTTCATATAAAAGGAAAAAATATTAGAATTACTTTTAGCTTAGAGTTGTGTGTGATAAAAAGTATTTCAAAATTTAAAAAAAAAAATGTAATAATTGATAACGTATAATTAATTGAATTTACATATCGAGCGCTAACCGCCAAAAGATTTCGCTTACGTTGTTTTGGTGGTTACGGCTCGATATAAGCATTATTTATAAATTTCAAACTACAATTTTGTATTTTAATTCAAACGAGTTTAAGCAGATAATCTCCGCTATAATTAATATTGGAATTATTTAATTTAAAAATATCTTCGAAATTAGTTTTAAAATTCTTCTTATTCTTTCTGATTAGCTGACGAACATAATATTTTTTCTTGAGGTTAAATACATTTACTGCAACCAAATATTTAATGCGGTTAACGCTGCTCTGTAAAATCTCAATATATGCACGCTTATATTTTTTCACATAAACAAAGCCTTCAAGACTTTCGAAGGTTTTTTTGTACAAAATTTTAATACAATTCATTTACTATTTAAATAAAACTTATAATTAGTTAGAATTAAATTGTATGAATTGTAAATGTAAAGAAATAAATTAAAACGACAAAAACCCAATGGTATTTTATTTTATATTTTTTTTATTTTTTGTGTAATCATTTGTTTGGTAAACCAGTAAACATTGTGGTTGTTCACGCTTGCCTGGTTATCGGGTTATCTGGTTTTATATTTTTAAAAGAAAGACAAAGATTTTTAAAAATATTTTGAAATTAACTCTCTCTCTACGGTCATTGCTGATTCAACGAATCTTTTTATTTTGGATGAATATATGTACATACATATGTACGTAGAAGTTACAATTGCTCCATTTTATTTTCTCTCTCTTCTCACCAAACTGCCTAATACCAAGGGACACACATATAAGTAGCTCAGCACAGGTAGAACGAAAACCCCAATTTAGAAAATTTTAAAATCAAGTCTCGATATGACCCATGATCTTACCACTTTCCGATCCAAGTTGACTTTGGTAACACTTTATAATAATACCCCTAGTAGTAAAGTATATGCAGTAGCAGCAAGCGAAACTCGTGCACCAAGTCATTCATATTTTTCCTTTTTATAACTTTCAAACTAAAGATACTACTAAAAATAAATGCATCATTTAAATAAGTTTAGTATTTTACAATCTGTGAAACCACCCAACCGATTTAAATGAAATTTTTTGGGTGTGTAAATGATCCGATAAGTGGCGCTATTGTTGAGAATTTTTTTACATAAAAATATTATTTTTTTATAAAACTTTATCAAAGTAGAATTGTTGTCCCCATAAATAGCGTCATTGGCGAGATGTATTTTATTTTTAAACGACATTTTTTTCACTGATTTCTGAAACCTCGCAAATGATTTCAAAGAAATTTGTTTAGTGAGTACAGCACTGTTGTTCCCGCAATACCCTTAATATATCTCCATAGTTGTAGTGAGGATTTTTTTATTATACTGGTCGTATGCTTTTTTAGTTTAACTTAGTATTTGCGTTGTGTACAAATCTCTTAAATCTGCCTTATACATCTGTAATTCGGAAATAGGCAGACGAAAATAAGTGTTGTTATTTCTATATTTGCTAGCAGCGTGATTAACTTCTATATACATATATAAAAATGTTTTAAGTAGCGTTTCCACCCATTTAAAAACTATAATGAGATTAGTATATAAGTTCACCTATCTCAGCAGCATGAAAAATATGAAACGCGGTAGCCGCTGGTGGAAGCAGAGGAGGAGGTGCAAAGGAAAGCCTGGAAAGACCTGATAGAATAGGTTCCCATAGAATTTCCAATTAACGTCAGTCGGAATTCATATAATATTACTTTTGATATAAAGCTCATCTCTTTCCCGGTTAGGTGTTCATTTACCGATCAAACCAGCTCGATCTGGCGGATGAAATGCCTGCAATAAGTCGTCCCGAGGTAGACGATCCGTGCGATGTGGAGACAAATAAGCTTGTCAAATTCTGTTGCTCCTATTGCAAAGTGTAGAGATAATACATGCAAAGTTGTGATGTATTTTTGTAGATTTTTTTTTGTTAAAAGTCAAATTTTAGATATAAATATCCCTTTTAACCCTTTAATCCCTTGTGCGTGCCGATTGTAATTTGCCTTGGCTAAAGTTGTACAAAATTTTATATTATTTAAATAAACCTAATTTTACTCAAATAATAGTAGTAGCGTTTTCTTTTTTCCTCTTAATCCTCTTAATATGTTTTATTTCTAGACGATCGACAAATAATCGGAGTAGATTGTTGGGTGTTCTCGAGCTCAGAAATTCGTCTCCCAACACATCGCTTTCAAAAGCCTAATACCTAATCCTTAAAGCGCTCCGCCGTCTTATCCCGTATGCTCAACGAAAGCAAATACCTAGCAAGACGCTCTGTGATTGAGATCAACATGAGTTTGCCCAGCTGCAGCCCCTTGAAGCCTCACAATCATAACCGAACGAAACATTCACCTAAATAGTTTCTGACGGTGGCTTCGATGGCCGAAGGTGGGAGTACTACAACTGCTTGCGGAACAAGGTATGTCTGAGCTGAGATTTCTCTAGCCAAATATTGATATCTATGCCGCATTAGCAGGTACTCCCTAGTGACCTGGCACCCAGGGTAATACAATTTATATTGCCGAGCTAGTTTGTAAGCAGTTAGAGGGCTGGCCAATGCCTTGAGTTCAGCTTGGCTGTCCGCCAGACACCTAGACTTTTGCCTGTTGAACTCTCTTTTTTATTTTGGTCTTTAAATGGGATGGTGCTGGCGCTAGTGATAAGCCAAAGCATTGAAGCAAATTCTAAAAATATGTTAGTAAATATTTTGTTTCGTGCGAAAAGCTGCCTCGTTAATGTGAATACCTGTAGCTTTGATTTTCCTTGCTTCGGTCGGTACTGCTGCTTGAGTTTACCTCCCCTACTTAAATTGACTTTTATTTCTGCACCATATTGGCTACTACTCTGTGGAAAATTCAAAGAATTTTATTGATAGTCTCAGTCACACTATGCCCAATGTTAGCATCTTTATGTGCTGATCAAACACTAAGAGAATTTATTTACAACTTATCTCGGTAGTTTTAAATTTCACTTTTTAGTAAAAAGCTTAAGTGCCGTTTTCTTAAGCAGGTTTTAAAATTTATCTGCCCTTCAAAAACATTTTTTTTCGGGAAAAAATTCGTGTTGAAAGAGCAGATAACTTAAAAAAAAAATTACTTCAGAAAATTTCCCAAATTTTTTCACAATCATAAAGTATTTGTACACATATACGCCCTTAGGGACCTTAACTAAAAAACAGAGAGACATTTTTTCATAGAACATTTAATTCGCAGAGTCATGGTTTGAGCGAGTTCTATGAAATATATTCGGTGCTAGGAATTCTAAGATCAGTAAACTTTAACTTTAATATCTGACAGTTCTCAAACAACCAAAATTTATTACGACTGCAGACATACCAAAAATTCATTGATTTTTAAGATAATTCATACGTACATATAAATATAAGTATGTACACATGTATGTAGAAACACTCGTAACACTTACTTTAAGACTTGGACCTTCGTGAAATATCTAAGCGACCTTTTTGGCCCCCAACAACGCGAACAATGGCATGTAATTTAAAATTAAAGCAACAAAACAAAAACATCCATTACTGGCGAATATTGCTTTAACCAAGTACAGACCATACATTTCCTAGTAATAAGAAAACAATAACCATTATGCACGAACCCGTAGGTATGTATGTACATACATATGTGCTCATTGTTATAGAAGCACAATGAACCAAGCAAGCGAAATAAGGCCAAGCTGTGCAAAATCCCAATGAAATTGGTGTGTGCGTGTACGCCTATGCCGAAGGGATGTATTGAATTTATTTTTTTTGCACAAGATATTAATGGTATGTTTTCCCTGCATAAACTGATTTTGGCTAGTACATAAATACATACATAAATGTATTATTATTATTGTGGTTGGAAAGCACATGCTAGAAAGTGTGCATCCATTAAAAATGAATGAACCACTAGTAGAAGAAAAAAATTTATATATATACATATATAAACTGAACTTGAGTATACGCAGCGTTTTTATTTAGCGTTAATGGAGATGGAACACAGTAAAATGCATAATTTTACCTACTCATGTATGTAGGTTAGGTTAGGTTAAGGTGGCAGACCCGCTAAGGGGACTCACTTAGACATTTGATTGTCCATTGTGATACCACATTACATAGGAACGGTAACTGCGTAAAAATTACGAGAAGCGCTGGGTGCTCATAATGAAGTTCTTCAGACAGCTGATGTCCACTCCGGAGAGTCCCTCGGGAGTGTCGATGAAATGCGCACCGAGATGCTTAAACCGTAATCTAGCGAATGCCGGGCAGTTGAGTAGGAAGTGCTGAGATGATTCCACCTCGTCTTCCAGGCAACTGCGGCAGTAGGGATCCGTGACGATATTGAGTCGCACCGCGTGGGTTCCCATTGGACAGTGTCCGGTCAGTACACCTGTGAAAATCGAGAGCTGACGCTTAGCCAGCTGCAGCAGTTCCCTTGACCGCCCGCGGTCCACAGCCGGCCAGAAGGACCTTGCAACTCTGCAAGTCGGGGTTTTTTCCCAGCGCTCGCTGAGCCGACCATGAGCCCATCTGTCCAAAAGCAGGCCGCAGGTTGCCAACGGAACTCCAATTCCCTCCCTATCCGAGGTGATGGCCTCAAGGGTGCCTTGCCTGGCCAGTTCATCAGCCCTGCAATTCCCCGCGATATCACTGTGCCCCGGGACCCAAATCAGTTTGATCTGGAAGTACTCCGAGGCAGTTGAGAGAGAGGTCAGGCATTCCCCAACCAGTTTTGAGCACACCATTAGCGATCCCAGCGCCTTGATTGCCGCCTGGCTATCAGTATATATATTTACCTTCCTTTTTGACAGTACATTGGTGCGTAGCCAATCGGCTGCCTCCTTTATAGCGGCCACCTCTGCCTGAAAGACGCTGCAGAGATCCGGCAGTCTGAAAGTAAGATCTACTGAGAGTTCCTGACAGTAGACACCTCCTCCAACTCTCCCTTCCAGCTTCGATCCGTCCGTAAAGATGCTTATTGGACCTCTTCTCCAAAGACCACCCCTCTTCCATTCATTCCTAGAGGGGATGTGCGTGGAGAAGGATCCTTTAGGGGCCAGCCTCGGGTGACCCCGGTCCATTTCTTTCGGCACGAAGTCGAAGCTTTCGAGAATTGTCGAGTGTCCGTGCGCTGGATTGAAAGAGAACCCAGAGCTTTTGAGCCTAATGGCTGAGCGAACCGCCGCTACTTTGCCCGAAATATCGACAGGTGCGACATTGAGTATAGCGTTTAGCGCTAAGGTGGGAGTGGTTCGGAGCGCCCCGCTGATCCCAACGAGGGCTGCCCTTTGCACGCGCTCTAGCTTCCTAACATGAGTGGTCTTTTCCAGTGAACTCCACCAGACGATGACCCCATACAACATTATTGGCTTAATTATGGTTTCATATAGCCAATACATCACTTTTGGGGAGAGGCCCCATCTCTTCCCTATGGCATTCTTGCAGCAGTAGAGGGCCACCGATGCCTTCCTCACTCGTTCCTCAATATTAGGTTTCCATGACAGTTTTCCGTCCAGGATCACGCCCAAGAACTTGACCCTGTCAGAGAGAACAAGTGGAACACCCCCTATTGAGGGAAGCTGGGCATGAGGCTTTTTGTACCTCCTGGTAAAAAGAACGAGCTCCGTCTTTCCAGGATTGACAGCAAGCCCGCAGCTAGCGGACCAATTTGTGACCCTGTTTAGGTACCCTTGCATGAGATCGTACAGAGTGTTCAAGAACTTTCCTCTGACGATGAGTGCCACGTCATCCGCGTAGGCAATAACCCGGCATCCTGTCCTCTCCAATTCCTCCAGGACGTCGTTTATCACGACTATCCAGAGGAAGGGTGAAAGGACGCCTCCCTGCGGGGTGCCTCTGCTAACTTTACGCTGCTCAGAGGCGTTGCCCCATTCCGCTGTGACAGTTCTGTCGTGCAGCAAGTGTGAGATGAGCCTTACTAAGTAGCTCTCGACTCCGAGCTTAGTAAGGGCTCTTATTATCGCCCCAGGAAGGACATTATTGAAAGCCCCCTCGATATCAAGGAAGGTACCCACTACAAAATCTTTGTTTTTAAGAGACTCCTCTATGGTTTTGACGATTGAGTGCAGGGCAGATTCCACGGATCTACCTTTCAGGTAGGCGTGTTGAGAGGGGCTAAAACGCTCTCGAGGAATCCTGTTTCTTATGTGCAGGTCAATCAGTCTCTCAAAAGTCTTCAATAAGAAAGATGAGAGACTGATTGGTCTGAAGTCCCTCGGGGATACATGAGAGTTCTTCCCTGCTTTGGGGATGAACGTGACCCTTACGCACCTCCAAGCCCCCGGGATGTATCCTCTTTCTAGGCAGCTCGCATAGATAGGGGTGAGCCAGCGGCACGAGACCTCCACAGCCTTTTGCAGCTGCGCAGGAATGATGCCATCCGGTCCCGGGGACTTGAAGGGCTTGAAAGAGTCGATTGCCCAGAGCAGTCGGCGCCTCTCCAGTAATTCACCGGAGGAGGAGGTAGAGCATTCGCCCTTTCCAACAGCGATAGGTTCGCGCGGTGCAGGATTTTCTGGGAAATGAGTATCAAGGAGTAGCTTAAGCGATTCCTCTCCACTCATCGCCCAGTTGCCCTCTTCGTCCCTCAGGTATCCCAAGGGTACGGGATTCCTCGCAAGGATTCGCCTAAATCGAGATGATTCATTACAACCTTCTACGGCTTCGCAGAAGTTTCTCCATGACTCGCTCTTGGCCTTTCTTATCTCGGACTTATAGATGCCCAGTCCGATCTTATAGAGCTCCCAGTCGGAGTGTTGTCCACTCTTCCTGGCTTTATTGAACAGGCGTCTACTCGTCGCCCTGAGTTCTGAGAGTTCCACCGTCCACCATTTTGGTCGTACTTTGCCCCCCGGCCTACTCAGCGGGCAAGAGATTTCGATGGCACTCCTACAAGCTGATGTAAACTTTTCCACCATAACATCAATCGAGCCTTCGGTGCTTAAGCTCTCCTGGGGGGCCTCTGGGAGTAATTCCCGAAGTTTTTTACTATAGAGGTCCCAGTTTGTTCTCCTAAGGTTCCTAAAGGGGATACTTTTGGGACGATCTTCGTCCAGAAAAAACTGAATATACCTATGGTCCGAAAAGGAGTGATCATTAAGAACCCTCCAGTCAGAAACGCGGGATATTACAGAAGACGAGGCTAGGGTGAGGTCAAGGACCTCTTGCCTTGCCGCGGTGATAAAGGTCGGTTCGTTTCCTCTATTACAGATACATAAGTCTACACTTAGAATATAATCAAAAAGTGACTCACCTCTTGCATTTATGTCTGAGCTTCCCCAGCACGAATGTCGTGAATTTGCATCCGACCCAATAATTACGTCGGCTTTCCGTCGCCTCGCTTCGGCTATGGCTTCACGCAGCAGTAATGGAGGTGGTTCCACCTCGTCATCATGAGCCATGTAAGCGGATATGATCCAGAGCTTTCCGGCACCGCTATCCAGGCTGACAGTCACAATGTCCTCGTTGCTGAAATTAGGTAGAATTAGTGCTTTGAGTTCGTTTCTGATGAGCATGCAGGATCTTGGTCTACCTGCTTGATTCTGCACCATCAGCTTGAAATTAGGCGTCCTGATCCCGGAGATACCGCTACTGCTTAGCCACGGCTCCTGGATCAGGACTACATCGGCTCCACCTTGCTCAAGGTGGATAAGGAGATTTGCGGACGCCGCCTTAGAATGTTGGAGGTTTATTTGCAGGATCTTCATCCTCCAAAGTCCGCTCCAGCCACGCCAGTTCGACGTCCTCGTTTACTGAGGCTAAGAGCCTCTCTTCCTCCGCCCTGTCGTAGAACCGTCCGATGCTGACGACGGATCCCTCCGTTGAGAGGGCATCCTCAGCACTTTCCGCCCCCGACACGACGGATTCCACCTCCATGCTCATGGGGGCTTCCTCCGCCGCGGGCTCACGTGCTTCCGGCGCCTCAGGAGGTTGAGAGCCATCACCCCTGGAATCGGATTGGTAGACCCTAAGGACTACCCTTTCGAATCCATAGTTGATGACTCCCCTGGACTCAGCGAGAGGGCCGAGGGATTCCGCATTGAGTAGAATCAGCGCTTGCCGATGCGACTCCTCGGAATCCTCGGACCCCTCGAATCTGACAACCCTCCAGTTGTGCGTGGGCAGTTGCGGGTTGCAGTAACGGAGGATTTCCTCAATCTCCTCCGGTGCGGAGGGCTCGGGGGGGAGCCAGACACGGGCCCGCGGGCGGGCAGGAAGATCCTTTTCTTCCACGGCTTCCAGCTTGGCGCCCTCCCAAACCTCCCCCACCAGAGACACTGCAGACTTGTATAACGATGCCGACCGCTCGTCGGCGCATACAATTCTTTTGTGGATGCCATGATGCCACCCACCATCCTCACAGCGCGGAGGTGGACCAGGGTTTCCTCTGACCACCCTTAGAAAGACAGAGGAGATGGCCGCTGCCACGCGCCTCCAGTTTTCCCTGGATATGGTGCCATCTTCTCTGCCTCGATCGAGGACCCCCAGGGTAGTTGATCCCGCCTGCTTAGCGATTTCGCTGAACAGAGCAGGCGCAACCCCATTTCTGGGTCTTTTAGCGTGGGAGCCTTCTCCCTCTTGAGACCTTTGTCTTTTAGGACCCGTAGGAGGCGCACTCGCGTCTCCTTTCGTCGGGTTCTTAGCCTTCTCATCCCGGCCACACAGCACCCCTTTGGCCCACTCGAGCGTTTTCAGATGTTTCTCAGTAAGCTGAGAAGCATCCTGACCGCCATAGCGCTCCAAAATCTTGGTAGCCATGCGCCAGTCGGAGTAGGCCTTTCGGCCCGACGATATTTGCCGTTTAGGCATTCCCGAAGGCTTCTTGTAGGGAGCCTTCGAGGACAGACCCGGAAGACTGGGAGAGGAGCCCGCGCTGGTGCTGGCGATTCCGTCTAGCACCCCCCTTAATCGCTCTCTCAGTCCGGCCCCTTGCCTAGAGACCCCCACGGAGTCCGGTTCCGGCACTCCTGCCCTCCCAGTGGCGACAGCACCTGACCCCCCAGAAGCGTTTAAGTGCGTCGGCTTCGACGCGTTCTTACCCCCCGAGCGACCATCCGTTAAGGATCCCTCAGAGATGGAAATTGTAGACCGAGGCGGTTTCGCCTCGCGTACCGAAGGTGGTGCTGTAGCCCCCCCAGATGAGCCGGCTTTGGGGGTCGGCTCCGACTCCCCGCCACCGCTCGAAAGCTTATGTTTCGTAATTTTGTTTTTTTTGTTTTCGTTATTTTCATTGTTTTTCATTTCTGTTGGGTCCCCACTCAGAGCCGCTATCCAAAACCCGAGCGTGTAGTCGCCTTTAAATGGTCCCATAGCTACCTCTGAACAAGACTATGGCGAGGGTTGACCCATGCCCTTATGGGGTCATGAGTTCAGAGCCGACCAGCGCAAAGACGGGAGTCATCTCAACCGCACCTACACCACCAACTAAACGGCGACGGGAATTGGAACGTACCCTGAGGCCTGCCAGGGTTTTAACGGGACGGGGGCAGTTGCGGCATTAGCCCACCAGCCATTTCTGCTGAGTGTCACCCCAGCATACTCAGGTGGTAGAATACCGCAACCACCAGCTCAGGGATCGACAAATCCAAAACGTTTCCAGAATCGTAGTCAGAGGACGAAGCCAGGGTCGTTACCGTTCAGGTTAAGAGGCCGTGGAGGCCGCAGGCCATTTGGCGTTACCCAGGGTGCACCACGCGGAGGCGACCTGCTCTACACCCCACTCATGTATGTAAGTATGTATGTAAGTATATTAGTGTGCAGCGAAAAAAATCTGTTTTACGATTTCGAAATTTTTATAGTATATATTTGCTCGCTAATTTCGAAAATCGAGTAAAATTAAAAAAAAAAAAAAAAAAAAAAAAAAAAATTTAAAAAAGGGAAAAAAAAAAAACATTTTTTGTATGAAAAATGAGTTTGATAGAATGTTGCGCCATATATACTCGTTCATGTTCAGTGTTCACTTTTCTTAAAAAAAAAAATTCTTGCACATTCTCATTTGACCAATCATTAATTTTTTATTTATCCATCGAATTTCTTAATTAATAGCTTGTTTTGTTTTTTTTTGTAAAGGAACAGGCTTTCATATAAAAGCAAAGCATTTACCAACATTTTTTTATTTTTTTGTGTTTCCGCCATTCATAGATACAAAAATTAACTCAATTTTCGGAATCAGCGAGCAACCCAGTGTTATCAAAAATCAACAGAAATTTTTAGCATTTTGAAACTTGGACTTTATTATACTAAAATTTAATGAGCTACAAACCTGCATACTCACTTTCTAGAAAGTCTTTTTTAATAAGTGTAAAAGAATAATTATAGTTATTTGAGAGATTTTTCAAAAGTTTAAGACACTTGGAGCGACCGTAAATATTATCTAATCGAAAAACGGTTTAGCACGGTTCAATGTAATCATGTTACGCAACTTTTGCGCACTATTCGAATTTCGAAATCGAAATTTTAATTTTTTGCGCTTCATCCTAATGTATATGTAGGTATACTGTTGGAAGCTGTTAACTGAAACAATGGAAGGCAGATTTCTGAAATTTTGTAGAACAATATGTGGAAAGATAGTAGGTCGTGGGAACACTTTAAAAATGTGTAAGAGAAAACTATTTTACACTGCATGAGAATCGTGAAAAAACTACTTTCACTTTTTCTGTATTTTGCAAAGTTTTTTTTTCGGTAATTTTTATGAGTTGCCACCTATAGAATTACCGCCTTTTTAGGAGATGTGAAAAGTTTGTATGTAGCTCCGTTGCTTTCGGAAAGCAACATATAATACTGGCTAGATGAAGGTCTTTGATTCAATTCATACTTCAAAAGTCTTAAGTCCTTAGTTTCTCAATTAGGTACTTAGTCATAGTGACGGAAAACTGAGAGTAGGCCTACAGAAAGCACGGTCATACGGAATATCCAATGGTCACGCATTAGACTCTTCATGAGAAGGATGGATCGTTTGGAGAGTTTGTGGATTTTCTCAACAAGATTTTTTATTTAATAAATTTTATTGAAAACCAGAATTTAGATATTTTTCAAAAATAGCAAAATCTTGCTAA